AGTGACAATAGGCTGTGAGGTGTTCATTATTCACTTGCTTCTAAAATGTCTTCCTGTAGGAACATCAAAGTGTGGCTACTTGATGCATTGTTGTCATTATTATTCTATTGGTGTGTGATATAAAAAGTCTACACTTCTTTCTTCAGTTATTTGAAAAACTTTCATTGTTGAAACAGGATTCATAAAAGATGATGTCCAAATATATTCAATATTGACTAATTTGTTCCTCTTGTAAATTTACTCAACTATTACAGCTCATGAGGACTCATTGGCCTTTCAACCACAGCTGAATTGGCCAAGAATTCAATTTGCATGGATACCTCCAAATTGGTGGATGATAGGTCATGCATATGAATACAAAATTAAAAAGAACACAGAAATCTTACCTACTTGATACAACTATAGAATACAGTGTAAAACAGATTTGGTTTTGTACCAGATATCTGTTAAAGTTGTCAAGGTAGATTTTATGTAAACTATTACACTGGGTACAAGTGACATTAATACAGGTGGACTTAACTATAAATATACTAAGGAGAAATTTACAAGAAAAGGCAGGATGAAAGGCTCATGAAACACAGAAATATTAAGAAAGCTTATCAAGGTTACTGGGAGTCTGTGAAACTGAACTACGTGTACTTGCTAAGACAGGCCAAGGATTGCATCAAGGGTGAGGAGATGAGAAAGATGGTCAGATACCCAGTTTAAGGGATGTCTTGCTAAACTATGGTAGGAAGTGTATTGTTAATATAAGGCTCAGCAGACCAAGGTCCAGGCATAGCTGAAAAGGACACTCATAAAAGTCAGACTAAAAACTTAATCAAAGTCAAGAACCAAGTCTCAGTCAAAAGATGGCTCAGGAGATAAAAACAAGAGATGCTACTATGTCATGTTAATTTGTATAACAAATTGGTTTTTAAAAGATTAACCTAAATGCCTGACCTGCACAGAGCAGGTTAATCTCTTTGGATAAAGATAAAATGAGGACTTTCAGAAGAGCAACTTTCATTTTGAGCTGTGCAAACACATATTTTAAATTCTTCTAAATAATTCTTGATTGTAGTACTTTCTTTAATAGTTAATAATGAGCGTATCTCAGTTGTTCACTCAAGACCTCTTCAGATGGATCTGAGTCTTTTCGTCCAGTGTTGAGATGAAAGGATTTAGCAGGGAGCTCAAGAGTACACATCCTTGACAAGGGCTGACATAACCAAATAACCAAATGGCAAATGATGGTCATTACATTTTAGCAAAAGCACACTTTAAGTGGAGAGAAATCAAGACCAAATCTTTTTTTTTTTTTTTTTTTTTTTTTAACTAAAAGTGTTTGACTTTACACTGTTTAGCAACACTACCAGCAGGGTTAGTATTAATTTTTTTTTCATTAGACCTATCCTGGGAAATACTTTAAATTATCTTCTCAGATACAGCTTATCCTACCATCTGTCACTGCTGCCGAAAATTAAACAATGAATGCAAACACATGTTTGTGTCTAATCTTTTGAGGTTAACTGATTTCCCAGAAAGATGGGAACAAATAATCTCAGCAATTGCTTGCTGCCTAGCATTGTCCTGTGTCCCCTGTGGTTGCTACCCTTTTAAGACTCAATCCTAAAGGGAGAGACAGAGAAATATTATCCACAGATTGGACTTCTTGACAAGTGCTGTAGCCGATGTGGCTTGGGATGCGGGTGGGATATAGAAGTCAGTGAGTATCTCGCTTCATAGCTTGAGGTAGGAATAGTAGGAAGTGTCAATGTGTGTAGGTGTGTGTTCATGAGGATTTGGAAGATGTTGGGAAGGAATTGTGGGGGCAGGGGAAGAATCATGAAGCAATTTATAAGCTGAAACACAATTGATACAGGAGTGGTTATTAATGAAAGAGGAGGCACATTAGAAAGAATGTTCCTGGATGAAACATCATGTACAAGGGACTATGGAAAATTAGAATATGCATCACTTAACATGACAAAGAAGTACTTTTCAGAAATTAGTGGGCATAGAAGCCACCCAAATTTGACATCAAATTTTTCATTCTAATTTGGTAGTTATGAAGGAGGACCCAAATTGTAAGATTTCTAACAAGCCCCAGATCCATACAAGTGGTGATGGTTCCTGGACTAAGATTGAAATAGGAATACGTAAACAACTTGTCTCTGGGGAAATCATGTGATCTTGGATGTTGGCTTACTACCTCACTCCACATGAATCAATGAAACAGGCAGTGTAGTGTCCCCTGAACACCTCATTTGGTCACAAATGACCTTTTCCCTGTAAAAAAGGATTCTTGATGGAGAACCAGCTTAAAATCACTCCTTTCCATCATACTTCGCTTTAATATATTCCACTTTATCTTCCTTCTCAATGAAATAGATTTTATAAGCTTCCACATGAAAATCAGCCTGGCTAGCCTTAATATTATCAACCCTTGTCAAATCAAAGGTCAATGTACCAGGGAAGAATTTACAGGCTTGCCCATTAGAGCAAATTATAGAACTGTACCATGTGTCTCGACAGCTATTTTTTTCATGTCAACTTGAGCTCATATTAATAGACACATGAATTTCATGTCACCACCATCTTGCCTCCTCCTGAAATAGCTGAAGATTTACCTCCCTGGAAACTAAAAACAAAATTCTTGTAAAAATGAAAACTTCCCATCTCTATCCCAAATGCCAGAGGACATGTGGAGACAATTGTAGAGTCACATACTAAAAATCTACACCATATCACATGGTTTTAAAAGGCAGAGCTCCCTCCATTTTTGTTGTGGATATTATATATCATTGAAGCCATATCTTTGGTAATTTGGGAGACAAGGAGGTGTATCTGCTTCTAACATTGGTGTCATGAAGTTGCATAATGATTATCAATAAGTAATATACTACACTGACTTTATACCTGTGATGTCACTTGATTTCCTCATTTAATTCTTACAACAGTAATTAAATGTGTGTGTGTGTGTACATATGTACATAGTTAACTTATTCATTACTTCTATAGTATTTCTTGAACGACGGAATGAACCATATAGACAAGTAACAAAACTTAAATTCCTATATGCATCTTTATGTCCAGCTAGCGTGTCACAGCACTAAAAGGAAACAGACTATCACAGAGAAATCTGTGGGCAGAGTTTCTGTTTCTTCTTTTTAATAGATGAGTGTTGATCATCGTACCGGGCTTTCTAAAATATGGGAGTAGATACTTGGTGAGCAGCTACTTAAGTTTCACTCTTCTTCTTTTTCACATCATGCTCTTGCTGACTGGGGGGCCTAATCAACTCTTTAAACCAGATGAAGTCCCCGCATGAGCAGGTGGAGCTTGTTGACTTGCTGTGTCTACTGTTTCTCAGCAGCAGTGAGTAGTCTGGGCACTTTCTCAATTTTACTTCTTAGCCCTTCTATGTCCAATTCCTAAGTTCCCTAGCACCATAAAAAAGATATGAAGAATGCCTAACTCTGGGCCTAGTCCTAGAATGATTGTTAGATGTCGTTCACTAGCTTACCAAAGCTACCCGGGGGAACAATAGCAACAGGATGCAGAGGTTGCTTCCTGACTCCTTGCCCATAGTACTCTGAAATGGAATAAGGAATTATTTCTCTGTGTTCACAGACCAGGTATGGTGGCTAAGATTAGTTTGGCTATGACTTTGTCTATCACATGTTAATAATTTATGACCTATTTTAACCTATTATTCCTTCTTTGCATCTTCCCTCTTCAACTCTGTTCCTCCATATCTCTCTTGCTTCTTCCATGACTGTTGCCTTTAGTTTACTTTTTCTTCTTACTTTATCTTCCATAAGTAAAGACAATGTGAGTATTGCCCTTTCTTTAATATTAATTCATTGTAGTCCTCGGGGCATCAATTACTCAGAAAGTAACATGTATGAGAAGTTTGAACTCTATGGAAACTTTGCTGGACCTGTGATTTGTCACAAAACACCATCATCTACTGTAATTAATGGGAATGCCAACAGACTACACTCATATCCTGATCTCATGAAACTATAACCTGAAAGGAGAGTAGGGTGCTATTAGGAACATTGTTTGTTTGAATTGACTTATTTTTTAAACGTTTTTAAAAAGTTATGTACATAACTTTGGTTTCATATGAAACCATTAGATAATATTTCAAAAGGTACCTTCAATGAATTGTGCATATTCTATGTGATAGCCAGCAATCACATCATGGCAAAGCGTGTGCCTTAAATATGATGTTTGTAGATTCCAAATTGTCATATTTTCAGAAGAAAAACAATACTTAGAAATGTTTTGTAAAAATTCACTGGACTTTTTAGCATTGAAGGGTGCTCAATTTTCAACTGCCAGTTATTCAATGAAGAGATTTTTGAAAATAAATAAAACCTTCACCTCTTTTTAAGAGGTTTTCAACCCCTCTTAAAAAATGTAACAATAATTCTGATTCTTTAAAAAATACCGATGAAGTTCTATACATAGACAAAACCATCAAAGTTTGTTGTAGATATAGGGAAGCATTTCAAGTTTTGGAAACAGACAAGGTGAAGGACATTCTACCACCACAGAGATGGTAAGGGAGTGGCTAGCTCCTGCTGAGCTCCTGCTCTTTCTGGTGTCATATCATGCTAAGTTCTTGGCTAAAATAATTTTACCTTCAGTTTGAAAAAATGAGATGAGTGTTTTACAAAGTGTTGGTTTGGCAGAACTGAATTAATGTGACAGGTGAGAGGGTTTTATTTGATTTTAAAAACTGCTTAAGAAAAGTGGCTAGCACCATTAGAGGTCAGACAGATGGGACTGTATCCATTTCAGCACTGTGGGAAGCAATGGCTGGTTGCTTTCTGTCCACAGTATGACTATTCATCCTACTTCCATTTCATAATGAGAACTGAACAAGGAAAGGCCAGTTGGGGCCGGAAGACTGGTGGTGTTAAGAACAATTGGAAAAGATGGGTTTAATGTCATGCAATGCTTGATTTGCACAGCATTTCTAAATAGACTGGTGACTCACTGGACTGTGCTCTCTTTCTTTTGCATCTGGGGCACACACAGCAAAGTGGAATCACCACTGATGCATGAAGCTTTGGAACCTCAGCAGAGCAGTAACAGCGCAGCAGGCAACCTGGCTGGTTCCATCACGGCCTGTAAGAAGGTAACCCTTCCTCATGACACTTTCTTATCAGTGAATAGCAGCTAAGCTTGGTCTTTCAGGCACGTTTCCTTATATAGAGACAACCAGGGAAACAACCAAATTACCTGCATTTTGCTTTCATAGAAAGGATTAAATAACTGAGCAATTTCCAAAGTCCTAACTTGAAAATGATAAGCCTCCATTGCCCAATTAACCCAATCCCACCTTGTTCTCCAAGACGTAGACCCAAAGACAGCCATAGAAATGAGCCACATAAACATGGACAGTCTTCCCAGGTTTTCAATGGCTTGACCTACTGTTTTGAGCTATGTCATATGGAAGCAAAATTTATGACTACCCAAGGGTAGAGTATGGCTTTCCAATAAATAGGGAGGGTATGCTAGGATTACCTTAGAAGTGGAATTTCATTTCCTAAAATCTTGGCCAGAGAGTTGTCTTGCATTTTTTATTATACTTGCAGAAGACAAATTATTTGTGCAACATAAATAATCCAATTTATCCACCCCATTTTTCTGTCAGTCTAACTAAGGCCCAAATCATAAAGCAAAATGTCTAAGATTCTGATCCCCCAAATTAATATTTTGTCACGATTTTATGCTGGTTAATGGAGGATAGTAGGGTGCTTCTCATTCAAAATTAGAGAATACCAAACTGGGTTATTTTACTTATTGTAAGATATATTTTGTAATTATACAAACACATGCATGAATAAATTAATACAAATTATTTACAAAATATATACATATACTACATATAGGTAATATGCATTCCATATACTCATATGTGTATATATTATAATATATTATATATATTATATAAATATCATGCTGTTGAGTACTATGTCCATATAATCAGTCCATTTATTCTCTTACCTATATAACTTTTTTTAATAAATTGATGGTTTTAAAGTAGAAAATTATTAGCAAACATATACACTAGAAAACAATACTATAAAAAAGAATAGGCATAATTTTATCAATGTATTTCCATGCTATGTACACCAGCTTCCCTCAGCTGAGATAAAACAACTAAGACAATGTCTTTAAATAGGAAAGATTAACTCCAGTTCACAGTTTCCAAGGTTCAAGTCTATGGTCTATTGACCATGTTGTTCTTGTGTTTGTAATGAGTTAGAACAATGGGGTAGGAATGCATGATAGTGAAAGCCAAAAATCATCTATCCCCATTAGGGGCATGCCTCTAATGATCAAACTTCCTTCCATACTACAGCTAAACATTCTGCCTCTGCTCACTGATAGCACAGGATTGGGACCAAGTGTCTAACCATTGTCTTTATGAGTCATTTACAATGAAATCTAACTCACGTATTCACTCAAAATCAAATATAGAACAAGTCTGTCTAACTAATTAAGAACTCTTAATAGGATGTATCATGATACTTCCTGCTATAAATTACCTATAGATAAATTGATGCTGAAGTCCCAATTAGTGTATGATACTGGAGGTCCTACAACTCGAAATTATTTTTAACTTTGTATAAGAGGAGTATGCTGCAAGCCTCCAAACCTTAGGTCCATTTCTGAGTCTGTAACTTCAAATCATGCAGTACTAGGTATTATACATTTCACAAAGCCAGTGGATTTTCTAGGTATTCTAATTTCTAAGGCATATACATTTCTGCTGGTAAGAGTCTATGTGGTGTTTGAAATGATTGTAGTAGTCACAATACCTGAATCTGTCAGTCAGCTTCTCATTCATTGTGAGGTGTGTGTTTTGCAGCAAATGACTAGCTCTGGATGACTCAATTTCCTTATCTGAAAAAAATGAAGATAATAATATTACCCTCCTCAGAGGAGCGAGACAAGACCAGAATGAGGCAACAGACATGAAGTGCTGAGAACCATGCCTGGCATATCCTAAGCACCCCCAAAGAAAGATTACCTACTACTAATGTTATTAGCAGGGTAATTTTATCCAAGCATGTACAGTCCCAGAAAAATAACTTAATAATGAGAAGGTAATTCATAGTGTTATCTTAGTTATAGCCATTTCTATGGAGGAAAGGCTGGCCATGCCCTATTCTGTTTTAAAAACTAATGTCTGGGAGCTACTGAACTGACACCTTGTAGAAGCAGAGTGTTTACTTAAATGATTAAAAGCAGTCAAGAGTGATGAGGAGAGTCTGAGTAATACAGCAATTTTAGGCCAATTATCTATCTAGCAAGATAACACCTCAATTAAAGCAAATTAAACCCAAAACTCAATTCTAAGATTTTATCATCATATACATGTAATATTTCTGTATATCCATATGAACAGATATTTATGTATAAACAGATAAGATTTAAAAGTTTTAAATAGAGTCTCATTTATTCTGCAATTGTTTCTGAACAATTGTTAATAGGTTTAATAATATAAAATCACCTTTTGTTATCGACCCAAAGTGATCAAATGTAGGCAATTTCATGTGGTTCAACCCAAATATATTCAAAGTCCTCTTAAATCTTGAAGGTAGATTCAAAGATGCATCACAAACTTCCCTTATGAGAAAAATCTGTTATCTAGTTTAACAGGTAATTCTGTTTCCTCATGTGAAAGTAAAGCAAGAATTCACAAGTTAATTATAGTCATATCACGAGACAGTCTAAAGTAGGTGAGAAATGAGTCCTTCCAACAAGCCTGTTTGTTTTCTAATGAGATACAAGAAGGGGGTGGATGCAGATAGGAGGGGAGGTTTGGAGGAGTATGGGGGGAAATCATAATCAGAATATGTTATGCGAGAGAAATTCTATGTCAATAAAAGGAAAAGAGGAATCAAGAGGTGAGAGACAGTCCAGGAGGCAGCAGTTATTACAGGGATTACTTCTGATTTAGGCCCCATGCATGGTGAGCATCTGCATGTGTAAACAGAACATCCAATGGTCTACTGCTAATTAACCAAAAGCTGTGTGTACTTCTAAGTTTACAAATCTTCACAGTAGACCCCATTTATTTCAAGTATTTTCTATATTTACGCTTAAATGATTGTTTAATTGTAATTGTTTAGTCACAGTCGCAAACCATTTGGGGTGGAATTATTTGTATCACCTTAAAAAAAATAACCTCAGAGACTAGAAAAATGGCTCACTGGGTAGAGAGCTGGCTGTGAATGTGTGAGGACCTGAGTTTGGATCCCTGGACCCCATGTAAGTCAGAGACAGTGACATAAGCCCTTTCAGATGGGAAGCTGAAATGGGAGAAACACCAGAGGCTGTCATGTAGCATTCACAGTAGTGAACAATCAGAGAGAGCAATGACTTACATCCTTTGACCTTCTCATTCACACCATTAACGTTAGACGTTAACTCATAACGTCTAACTCTTCCTAGTACCCAGAACATAGACTCTTAGCATGAAGATATTGAATGATTCAATGCATTTATTACCATTACTGCCAAGTCATCTCAACAACCATTGATCATTTTTTCAAATAATTGTAATCACCAATAAAGGTACTGGGAAAGTGAGCTTCTCATGTTCATAAATATACATATACAGAACCATGGGACCCAGGCTTGCAGCCGTGACATATGAGAGCATAAGGCAAGTATTTAAGGCCAGCCTTGATTACATACCTGAACATCCTAAGCTACATAATGAGACATTGTCTCAAAGTTACATTCTCCCCTTCTCTTAATTTACATTGATAATGTAAATCAATGTGCCTGGACATGGCCTTAGAAACTTATCCAGCACAGTTCATCCAAGTTGGAATGTGTACCCAGTAACTTGCATGCCACTCTAATGTAGTGACCATGAAGATCTAGATTGTTTAAATTCCAAAAAATGCGATTCTCAGTATTGTACATGTTAAATGTTGGAATCACTCAATGCTGCAGAAACTTAGGAAGGGTTTGGAGTGAGTGGGCAAAGGCGCCACCATTCCCTCCCAGTGACCCCGGAACAACTTCATTCCCAGGCACAGCTAATGCTTCTCTTACTGTGACTCCTAATATGATAAATAGAGTCAGCTTCAGTAAGCTGATTTGTAAGGAGTTTTTACTACGTAAGATAAATTATTACATTATAATCTTATATTCATTGAATTTTAAGTGAAATGTCTCTATTGTATCCTTATAAGATCAAAATCTATTATCTTAAAACAGTGAAATCAGGCAACTGTCTGAATGTGAATCTGCTCAAATACCTGAACTGCATCCCAGGTTTTTCTTCTCAGTGTGTGATATCAGGCTGATGGGCACATCCTGTGCAATGTCCTTCCATGTGGAATACTTTTGTTTTCTTCTCCCTTGAAAGCACTGTATTCCTTCTCAGGCTCCTGCACCAGTGGAACATTCTCAACCCTTGCTTTATTTCATGGACCAAAGATGCATTATTTTCTTTTTAGACTGCAACAAAGTTTCTAAATACTACTGGCATGCAGAAGGAATTTGTAGAGAAAATCAGCACCCCAGATGTCTTTCTCTGTTCCTGTCATGTTAATGAATCTCCATAAACTTGGTCTTATCAAAGGCAGCAGACACAGAACCCTTTGGGTGCCCAGGGACAGTTTGATCCTCCTATGATATCTGATCACACTCTGAAGTTTCAAGATTTTTTTTTTTCCTGTGACTGACCCCTGAAGTAGTTTAGTGTGCTTCAGATATATCTGAGGAGTGACAGACCATATGCCTCTTAATGTTTGATTTAATTCTGTAAATTACCCTTTCACCTACAACCAGATCTTTGTGAGGACATGCGTTTAACAACAGAAGTCAATTTGTATGTGGAGGCACATACATTCAAATGTGATAACCCATTATCTCTCAAGACAGAACTGTTTGGAACAAAAACCCCATCATTGCTTCTCCAAGAAGCTAAGCAATTTTACTGAGCTGGACAGGTATATAGACACATCATGGAGAACGGTTACAGTGGTCTGTGCTAGTAAAGGCTCTTTCCATTCAAAAAGGAAAGACCTACAGACTGAGAGGCTAAATAAGATAAACAATAGGCTGCAGTCTAAAGAAGGAAGTGCCTGCCTCTGCTCTGTAAAGCAC